ATATATATATATATATATATATATATATATATATATATATATATATATATATATATATATATATATATATATATATATATATAATAAATTCTCAAAATTAGATGCCTATTGAAATTATTTTTTTATAAGAATTAGAATCAATTGAATTCATTCTGCTAGCTAATTTTATCCAACTTTATTTAAATTGATACTAAGAAAAAGAAGAGGTGGAGGAGGAGATGAACATGAAAAGTCAAGATATAGAAAAATATTTAATGTTCAAAATATGATCGGAAAAAGAACCGAGGAAGAAATCATAAATACAGGAAAATAAATCATTTTCTTACATGCCTCCGGATTTGTGTATTTCTAAATCATTTTTCCTTTGTTCATTTTTATGTTTCATTAGCACAATTATTAGAGATGCATTAGTCGAAAAAGGTATTGTCATTAGTTGATAAGTTCTAAAAACTTTTGTTTGATGTGCATAACAATAATCTAGAAAGTTTATAATACTTATGTTTGATGAATTATTTTACTTTCATTATCAATTTCTCTCTCTCTCTCTCTCTCTCTCTCTTTCTCTCTTGTTTGTTTGTTTGATGAACATGTTTTTGTGCATGTTCGATCTTGTCGATTATATTGTGCATAACCAATCCCAACCTTGATGTTGACATTTGAAATATATTGATTCTTAATTTACAAGATAGATGCATTTGGCATGACATATTAACACTCTGCCAAAGCTTTATATTAAAATTATTATTTTATATTTTGGTTGTCTAATATATGGAGGGTTTGAATATAATCTATGCTCAAACATCCAAGTCGATAATAGTTCATATGATGTATGAAAATATAAGATTATGTTCTCAAATGGACTAAAGGATGCATTTGAAAGTCCTTTTTATAATAAACTTAATAATGTTCGAACTGAAGTATTATACGAAGGTATCGATCATCATTCAACGATAAATGTCTGTATCGAACTGTTGGGCGTCATAATAACACCACATGTTTGCACTTTGTGTATGGAAACACTATACGACTTAGGAGACATCTCGAATTCTCATCGAGCCCGGAAAAGAGAAAACACAGTAACAGCTCATATTAATCTCCTCAGCTCAATGCAAACTATCATTCCATAGGACGAATAGCCTCCTTATGAGCTGCTTTGAGAACAACACCTTAGACCGAGGAAGTTTGCTTGACACCTTAATTGACACTTATTTAGTACTGGAGAGGAATGATGAACTCACTCAGGAAAGAGGTTGATTCATAGTAAACTCTGGCATAGAGAAGCAGCCTCGTGCTCACAATACCCATAGGAGGAGAGCCAGTGTTCTATTCTTAGTCTCTTGTATGTATGTATACATGTGGAGATAGGTGTGCATGACATCAAGCACAAGTCGAGGCCAAGTGGATGCGTGCATGCGTCGTCGACACGGCGGGGAGAAGAAGAAGTAGCTGTGCTTGTTCATATTTCCCATTAGCTGTGGGTTGTGAGGACATGAAAGAGCACATAATCCTCAGCAGCCCATTGGAAAGCGTCAACCATCAAAAGGAAAACAGCGACGACAGCCTTCTGCCATTGACCTGTCATTCGTATAATTGCGTACACAGATGAGGAGAGGTGGCAGCAGAAACAAACGGTGGCATCTGACGTCGTCCTCTCTGTTCTCTGTTGGCTTCCAAATCGGCAAGTGCGAAGGGGCCGTCGGCGCGAGGAGGGAGCGCAGCAGAATGCCGCACCTGAAAACGACGGGCTTTGCCGACAGAAATCATGGGATCCAATGATAACTTGGCATGCCACTCGCTAATAACCAGTGGCCCCTTCTCTTTGTTGCCTGTTTTGGTTGCTCGATCGATTGAATGCCTCACCCACCTCTTCTAACACGCCCAAGCAAATGCAAATTTGCATCATCTCTAAAATTGTTGTTGAAATGTGTATGCAACTTGATTGCTTTTTGTACCATCAATTAAATTCTTTTTATTTCGTTCATGAAAGCTTATAAAAACAATTTCTACTTCAATCATTATCAATCATTCACCCCAATAATCCCCACTGGCAATCAAAAAGGTCGTTAAAGGCTTAAGTATTCTATCGAGTCTTTATTATGAAACTTATTCATATTTTTATATTTAATCGATTCAAAACTATCTATTCTAATTTTAATATATATATATATATATATATATATATATATATATATATATCAGTTAAAATATCATTATCAATATAATTTTTCTCGGAGCAAATAGTCTCGATTAGTACTAGTATAAAAAAAATGACGAAATAGAGTCAATCAACGTTGTACTATTCAAAATAAAGAATCAATGAAATTATATTCATATAAAAAAATATATATCCATAATAATTCATATTTACTAATATTTTGACTCCATTAACTTTAGAAGAGTCTTTATTGGTTACTGGTTACATACTAAATATAGTTTTTGTAAGATCAATTATCAAATCTCTCAATTTTTCAATACCAATTTGTAGTAGACTCGAACCTTAAAAATTTGTTCCATCCAAACCCTAACGTGTCGGACAATCAAAATATAAAAATAATAATAAAATTTAAAAGTAAAATAAAAAAAATTAAGATTACGATAATTATATCTGTGATATCATATCTTGAAGTTCTACATCTCTAATTCAAGAGTCCAACTAATTTTGATCTATACGCTGACCGAAATTAAATCTCAATATTCAGTTAGTGGGGTGCGAAATTGTCAATGGACTTGGAATGTTACTTAGTAAGCTCGAACAGACCCCGACAACGTACACACACACGTATTCCCATTCCATGACAAGTATGCATCGAGAAAGTGAGGCCTACTTTTGTCACTTAAAACAAAGAACCCATCAGATGATGTTGAGATTCGCGCTCGAGCGTGATCGATGAGGTCGTCGTCCTCGTCGACTAATAAATCCCCTATTAAATCCGAGATTTGGTTGTTCACATGGATCGGAGATCGGACATGGATCAATCAAATCTCCTCTCCTCTCCCCCCCCCAATAAACGCGCTATATCGCGACCATGGCAACTGGTTCCAATAAATCATAGAGGAGAAGAGGAATAGTTATTTCCTGTGTGTGTGTGTGTGTGCGGGTGTGTTGTGTCTTGCAAACCGTACGTGGCCTGCCGAATCCCCATTTTTCATAGAGAAAGGGATCGAGGCTCTTCCTTTTTATATACGATCCGTTCCGGTTCTCTCCCCTCCCTATCCTCCGCTCGCCTCTTTCCTCATTCTGTGGGTGTCAGTGCTTAGAATGCAATCGGAGATCAATCTTAACTGAAACAATTACACCGAAATAGCGAGAGATATAGATAAAGAGGGAGGGAGAGCGGGCGAGAGATCTTCCCACATTGATTTGGATGTCGTCTCAATGATAATGAGAGAGAATCATACTAGTAGTTGAGATTTCGCGGGAAGGAAACGAGGAAGAAGAGGAGCTAGGTTTGAGAGAGAGAGAGAGAGAGAGAGAGAGAGAGAGCTCCGGGAGGTGAAAGGAGATGAAAGGGTACGGCTCCGCCGGTGCCGGCGGAGGATCGGTGGTCGCCCAGCCGGCGTCGAAGCGGCGGTGGAAGGGGCAAGCTGCGGCCGTCTTGGCCCTCGTCGTCTTCTCGCTGCTCGTCCCACTCGCCTTCCTTCTCGGCCTCCACAACCGCTTCCCGTCCGGTGCGTCATCCCAGATCTCCTTCTAAAACCCTAACCTTCGCCTCAGATCTCCCCCGCGAGGAGCACTGGTTCGACCGCGGTGCGCGGTCGGAGTCGGATTTCCGCACTGCGCGTGTGGTGTCTGGGAGATCCGGGGTTCGATTGTTCTTTCGATTGCATTTTCTGTTTCTGGATCTGAAGCTCCTTTCTTGACATCTTTTATTCCGCATCTTTCATTGGCTGCAGGATACTTGGTTGATGATCGCTCCCAACAGGTGAGGAAACCTACTAGGCTGATGTTAGAGGAATCGTTTTGATTGGTTGATTTCACAATGTTGTTGGTTTTGATTCGTGTGTAGGAAACTACGTTTGAGAATTACCATAATGTGGGCGGTGGTCAAGATCAGACTCCCTCAGAGGTTCTCTTTTATTCTCTCTCCTCAACTATCTCTGGTCATCGTCTTAATTGGGCTCTTTTATCGGCCTGCTCGGTTCTCAGATTATTGTATGATTTTATAATCTGGAATTTGACAGGATGATCAGCGAAGGGTTCTTAACCTTATGAACAGATTTGCGCCACCTTTCCAGAAGGTTCATCCTACACCTAATTATCAGGCTTTTATTATTATTATAATTGTTATTGCTTTTTTACTTAACTAGAGCTTGGTGCTTGATCATTGCTCTACTGCAATGAAAGGATTCTGTCTTGTATTCTTTGTTAATGAGACTCACATCTGCCTTGGAGAATTTGGAATGCTGGAAAGGGAGAATTCACAGGAGTATGTTAAATATTAATTTTTTGGTGGTATTTTCAAATTTATGTATTGCCAGTCATGTAGACTGTAACCAATTTTGTACCTTTCCTTCATTCCTTGATGCAATTCTTGCAGTCTTAGGTTTCTTCTCAATTATTTGGGTCCCAAACTGGCTAAGTTTTACTCTCCACTGTCGGAGAAGTATGGAGATGCTTTATTCTGCTTGTTATTGATCATGTAGGGAGTCCTTTATTAGCCTTAAGCAATGGGTATTGGATTTTGAACTAATGCCATGTCTCACCTGCTTCTTTGCGTGGCCACATTATTTGATAAATGGTGGACGAAAGATTGTTTCGGAGAACACCTTTCTGTTAATCGCTTTCATGATTCCAATTTAGGTGCTAGACACTTGGAAGATCTACTTTTTTCGTTGTTACATGCATGTATGTCTTTTACAATATGTTCTCTGTGATTACTGTTATTTTTCAATTTAGTTAGAATCAAAATTGAAATACAATTTCCTGCAATTCTGATTGATCACTTCCAATTTACATCATAATTTGATCCTTAGTAGAATTTTTCCTACTTTCCTATATCAGTTGGTGCTTTTTTATCTTGGTTTCGAAGTTTATCTACATTTAAAGATATATGCTGTAATGAGCAGTATCTGGGGATCTAGGGATCTCATATGGGGATTGACAAAATTTGTTGGACTAGGATCACGAAATAAAAGAAAACCATGGAGAATATAAAATATGTATATGCTAAGATGTGACAGTTTCATGTATCATATACTCTAAGAAGTTTATTTAAAAAAAGTTAAAGAACAAATTGACATGTTTATGTCATAATTTTTCCATCTCTCCTATAAAGTTGTGGGAGTCAAAGCAATAAACTTACCCTCTCTCTCTCTCTCTCTCCATTTCTTTGATCCCCTGTCTCGTGTCTGTATTTCTCTTAATACAGTTGCAGTGGCTGCCTTAACAAGAGTACTCTTTTCCAAGGGCATAGATATTTCTTGGACCAGTATATAATACATGCAGTATTACCCTTTCAACAAAGTACTGGTTCCAAAATGTATGCACATAAGCAGATTATTTTTATTTGTATATTAATATATTTAATGCTATTGGGTGGTATAGTTCAGTTTACCATCCAACATACTGCTATTGTATCAGATTGATTGGTTGCCAAAACCAATATAAAGTGTATATATAACACCTTGCTATTCTGCTATATGGATCGAGAGTGTTGTACTGATCTTGCTTTAATTGTCTAATTTTAGTTGATTTTCAGCAAGTCCAATGGAGAGTGCAATGATGAAAACACGTGGTTTAGGGCATGAGACCTTGCCATTGCAGCTGATAGGCCAATAATATGGCTGGGAGATTAACTGGAATTAAGTCGGTATTCGTCTGATCTGATGACACTTGATTTGGCATATGACGGTTACTGGTCCTGCTATTTTTGGGATGAATTGAGGGTTTGCGTTTTTGGGTGTTAAAGTGTGTCACCAAGCTATTGGTTTTGTACTAATTAGAACAGTATGAGTTCAACTGCCACTGGAGTGGCATGGTACAAAACAATTTTTTATTTTGGAGAATAAAATGGATTTATAGTGGTCATGTTGATATATTCAATGACATGTCTGATTGATTGGAATAATTGGCATTTGTAAATGAGGTTATGTTATTTCTAAGTTAACAGTTATTATAGTCTTGGATTAAGGATCAACATTAAGTTCTTATCTTTTTGCATTAATAACTATGAACTACTAGGCATATCATCATTGAACTTCTGTGCTGTATATTGTTCATTGACAACATTGTTCTGATTGATGGGAGTCTGACTTGGGATCAACTCTGAACATGAGCTATAGAGACAATTAAAAGAAAATCTAGGGTTTTAAATATAGTAGTTTAAGACCAATTACATGAAGTGCAACTTTAGCTAGTCAAAGAAAAGATTGAAAATATAATTAAAATATATGGACAAAAAGTCCTCAAAATTATAGGAATTTGATGTTTTAACTTTATTGTCTAGTAGGAAGGAGAGACTGAAGAAGATATTTTTCATATGGTTAACACGGATTGGTTAGTGTAAAGGAGTGCTAGATAGACCGAAAATCAGATGATGCTTTTGAAGATATGGATTGAAGGATCCTTACTTTGCTTTAAAGTGGAATAAATGGAGCTATATTTTCTCCGCACAGGTTTTAAATATATTAGTTAGCCTGTTGAGCTCCTTAACTTCGATTGTACCCTTGATTTCTCTCTTGTATGGCCTATGTCTTGCACAAGGAATCTATGGTTAGTAATTTGCCTATTTTTAAGTATGATTTTTATAAACCAATATCAGCATAATTTGTTGGCATTTAATCATAGTTTCACAGAAGATAGCAAGAAGTCGACTATTACTTTTAGAGCAATGTTTCCCACACCCATTTAGACACCTAGTTAAATACCCTCACGTAACCAAAGGGTACTCAACAATGTCTTGTATGTTTCTGGTATAATCGTGAATTGGTGATCGGACGGTGTTAGGAAGTGCATTTTGCAACATTCTGAGGGTTGATGTTTGAACTGGTCTTTTGACAAAGTTGGTGCATTTTACCATCAAGTACATCCAAAGTACCCTTATAGTGCTGTACTCTTGAATGATGCACACCAGATTTCTGTGCTTCGAATCTATTAGTTTATCAATTTTTCACGTGCAACCTGGTTGAAATCTGTTCTTCATGCATCACAGCCTTTGCCAACATTGTAACCAGTCAAAATCTGTTTTATCATTCTGAATCTCATGAAGTGCAAAGTCAGAGGAAAAAGATCTTGTCAAGCTCAAGTTGTTGCTCATCCATGGTACTCAATAAGTCCACTGGTTGTGATGAGTGATCCCTGATCTTGAAACTGTTATTTGACTTTGGCTGGGATATATAGTACAATGTGGGTATTTCAAAATTAGTGGTTTCAGCAGTGGATAAATTCAGTTGCAACAAAAGTTTCCTTTAATATATTTTTCCTCATTTTTCATCTCCAATTCTAAAATTATGCCATTTTTTATGCATGATTAATCTTTAGGATACATATAAATCTGAAAATTGAATCTTGGAAAATTTATAATGTACCTATAGATGGGGAAAAAAAAATTAAATTCCAGAGGTAAAACTTATTCAAGTTCTTATGTTGTTGACTAGGGTTTTCTGAAAAAAGAAATTTTTAATTGCTTTTGTATCAGGATGCTAATAGTGTGTCACCTGATGAATACATGAGAATCAACAACACTGGTAGTTCACCATCTACTTTGCAACCAAAGGACCATACCTCTCAGCCTATAACAAAGAATGAGGCATCCATATCGAAAGGTATGTAACTCGGGATAACTACATGTGGATCCTCGTTGTACCCAAAGATGTATCATTTCTTTTGTTCCATAGTGCTTTTTTTAACCATGGAAACATGTACCAATCATGTGCAGGTCCACTTACAGAAAATAATGTTGCTCTGAAGGAACCTTCATCTCTGAGTAATAGAGTAAGAAATCTAGATACCTTTAGAAATTTACACAATCTTGTGTTTACTATTGCGGTGGCTGATTTAACCAACTGACTAGTAAGTGTAGCAAAGTTGCACGCTTATTATTTGTATTATTAAGTAATATGCTAATTTTCCTTTTGTTTATTTTGACACATATTGTAATTTGACCTTGTTTTATGCCTTGTATGTGAACTGATTCTAGCTCTTGATGCCTTATGGTTTTTATTTCTATGCTTTCCTGAGTATATAATTATTATGTTGTTACAGATTGGTGGGGAAGATGGAAAGAAGAACCGTGACAAAGCTTCAAATGTTTATGAGACAGAGAGCTCCTGTGAACTTGAATTTGGAAGCTATTGCCTATGGTCCAGAGAACACAGGGAAGTAATGAAAGATTCTGTTGTGAAGAGACTGAAGGATCAGCTTTTCGTGGCAAGAGCTTACTATCCGAGCATCGCAAAACTTCAGGGTCAAGAAAACCTAACACGTGAACTGAAACTGAAAATTCAGGATCATGAGCGCATGCTTAGTGAAGCAGTTTCTGATCCTGATCTTCCACCATTGTAAGTAATCTCTTATTATTGCTGGATTTTTTGCTTCAGGATTTAGAACTTTTGGTTCCCTGTATTATATGAGTTAATTCATAAGTTCTTCATGATAAAGAATGTAGTCCCAGCTTATGAATGTCCAAATATTCTAGGAAGTCTGGTCCTAATAAGTATACATAAGTTAATTATGAACTATATCAGATATATGCCTATCATGGAGTGGAGTTATAGTGGTGTAAAAGGGCAACCTAGTTCTTGATGCTATTGTGAGATGGTCCAAATCCAGTTGGTAACCTTGTTTTGTCTTTATCATTTTTACTGAGTCATGTCTGACTGGAGCAACTTCAACTTGCTTCTACCCAATGGAATCATGAGTTTATCCTTACATTTGTTTGCTTAGTTTGATGGTACATCCATTCTTTTTTGCAATCCACAAACTTTTGGTGTTTTTTCTCACAGAAAGTTGGAGCAATATACTTTTGGTGTTTTTTCCACAATGAACCACAATAATGAAATGAGAAAAATCATCACCCAGTTGAGTGAGAGGGTTGAAGTTTCTAAAGAGAAAAGAAAAATAGAAAAGAGAAACTCAAGAAACAGTGGAAATATTTCTTTAGTTAAAATTAAAATGCACCTCCCATATTATTGATGTCTTGTTTCTCCATGGTCTTTCTTCTCTCCAATTTCATCTTTCTCCACTCCAATTTCCCTTCAGATGTTCAGCAGTGGCAAGAGTTTGTTGCTCCTTGCTGTGACTATCATGCTTTATCTGAAGCCTAAACAACTTGCCAAATTGCCTCAATTTCCCTAGTAGTGCTGAATGGCAAGAAAAGATCCAAATTGCCAACCTACTTCATGTCTTGTAGCTCGGGTTTACTGAAAATTCTGAAGTATGTATTGGTTATTTTAAATAAAATATAATCTTCTTAGTTGATTCCACTAATTTCTTTCTTCCCAGCATCTCCTTTTTTAATTTACCTATGCTTTTCTGCTTTCTCCTCTTGCTTACACCTAATTCATGACAGACTACATTTTTATTCTTGAATTTTGGACTTTTTTACGGCATTGATGGTAAAGAGGTTTCATCTGATCTAACTTTGTGGAGGAGGACCTTTACAGGAAAGGCCTTCTAAAGAGGGCCTTCTAGAAAATTCTCGTCTTGAGAGCCTAAGGACTCACACACTCTCTCTATCCTTTCATCTCCTCTGTGGTGTTATTTTCCTTCTGATCCAAACTGGTTGGCCTTAATATGAGTTCTATGTGTACGATATTGACATATATGATGTGCTATTTATCTCTAAAGCACAAATTTGAGCTATGCCAACGATTCTGAAATGGAATGCTGATTAAAATTTTTTGTGTCACTCAATGAAGAAAGAGGATTTGCTTTACGGTTTCATTAAAGCTTCATTCCTTTGATTGAAACATCTTTTGACGAGAACATCTTTTAATTTTGCTGTCAAAACAAAACTGACCCCCAAAACTATCTTGTTGTTTCAAGTGTGTGGAGACTAAAACACAATGCAATGCCAGGATTAGACCTGTTCTAAACATTATATCTCATCTCTCTTGGTTTTGGTTCTCTAATATTGATATTAATATGTTGAATACTTAATTTGTGGTTAACAGAAGTTAAACATTGAAACCCACCCACCAACCACAATCCCGAGCAGAAGGTTATAAAGAACCCCAAATTTGAAATGCTTTTGTGGTTATATAAGATAACCAGTATGTTTTTCTCTGAACCTGGTCATTGAAACTTTCATGAGATTAGCCTATGAAAAATCTCGTTAAGATATTGCATTCATCAATCTTTCTTTTATCATTTAGAATTAGTTCTAAAGATCAAAGAATTTTCTTTTCAGTGTGGGGAAGAATATAAAAAGATTGAATGAGGCGATTGCAAAAGCCAAGTCATGCAGTGTTGATTGCAACAATGTTGACAGGAAACTTAGACAGATACTTGATCTGACAGAAGATGAAACTCATTTTCATATGAAGCAAAGTGCATTCCTATATCAACTTGGTGTCCAGACCATGTCCAAAAGTTTCCATTGCCTTTCCATGAGACTGACAGTAGAATATTTCAAATCACCATTATCAGATATGGAGCATCCATTTGCTCACAAAATTGACAGTCCAAATCTTCAGCACTATGTTATCTTTTCCAGAAATATACTTGCATTATCAGTAACTATCAACTCTACCGTTATGAATTCTGAGGTATGGTGTTCTGGTCCTGTTGATCTACAATTTGAATGGTGAATATCTTATTCTATTGTTTATCAGTGACTTATCTTCATTTTGTTACAGGAATCTGATACCATAGTTTTCCATGTGATCACTGATAAAGAGAACTTTTATTCCATGAAACATTGGTTTGCCAGAAATTCATACAGAAAGGCGACCATTCACATCCAAAACTTTGATGAGCTTAAGGCTAATCTCTTTGGCAACTTGGATTTGGCAGAGCTGTCAGTGTCTGAGGAGTTTCGTCTCTCTTCTCAGGCTATTTCTCAACCAACCCCTTTGCAGATGAGAACCAAGTACCTCTCAATTTTTGGTCATTCCCACTTTCTTCTCCCTGATATATTCAAGAATCTAAAGAAGGTAATTCTTTTGGATGATGATGTGGTTGTCCAGAAGGACATATCATTTTTGTGGAATCTTGACTTGGGAGGAAAAGTAAATGGTGCGACACAATTTTGTGGGGTCAAATTGGGTCAGCTGAAACCGTACTTGGGCACCAGTGGGTATGAGAGTAATTCTTGTGCTTGGATGTCTGGACTAAACATAGTTGACTTGGAGAAATGGAGAGAACATGATATCACTGGAATTTACAGAAGGTTTCTCCATCAGGTAATTGCTATAAATCAGATGTTGGCTTACTCCAAATTTCAGTTGTGGTACCAGTATAAAAAGATTTGTTTGCTAATGATCAGGTTTTTCTGGATTTGAACATACTAGTCTAAAATTTTTTTGGTGTGCCTAATTTTTTTCTAGTTCATTAAATTCAAGCATTAGACATAATATTCTTACTATTATCCATCATCTAATTCTTATCTTGTTCTTTTTCTGCTTATAACAGTTGCAACATGAAAATGAGGCGGGGTGGAGGGCTGCAACACTCCCAGCAGGTTTACTTTCTTTCCATGGTCAGATATATGCTCTAGATGATGCATTGGTTCAGCAAGGGCTCGGTCATGATTATGGAGTCCCTGAAGACACCATAGAAAATGTGGCAGCATTGCATTATAATGGCAACATGAAGCCTTGGCTTGATCTAGGCATTCCCAAGTACAAAAAATACTGGAAGAAGTACCTCACACAAGACGAGCGATTTATGGATGAGTGCAACGTTAATCCATAGCTTCAGCTGCAAGAAACAGTATTAGAATTGAAGCAAAAGGGGAGCCAAGGAAACTTGCTTGCTGTTGTGTCTGCAACTAAAGCAGAAACATCAGATGCTTCAACCGTCAAGTGTCACCAATAAAATTGGAAAGGAACGTTCGTCCTTATGCAGCGGCCATCGAGCAAGGCGAGCATTGGTTTAACTCTAAGATTCTTCACCGCAGAGAAAGGCGTAGGAAGATAAAGGCTACAAGAGTTGATCTTGTACAATGTGTTTCAGGTAAGTTCACGTATTAGCTGGTTTGCATCCATCATTCATTTGTTATATATAGTCTGAAGATTAATGGGGTGGCACCTCAAATTGGATTGATGCCATCCTTGGACCACTGTAGATTTATTATTTTTTCCCCCTATTATTTTTTTTCCCCGACCCTTGTTGTTCCATTTTCTTTTGCAATAAGGGTGTAGTCGGCGTCTTCCTATTAGTAATTCTTTGTCTGTCAAGTGCACGGGTCTTCATCCTCGACAAACTTGTGTGGTAAACTTGGTAGTCGAACCATTTTGTATTTTGATGTTCTTATGTCCATCTCATATGCAGTATGTCATTTCTTGCACGTCTTGTGATCAGCTCCGGTGAGTTCGATCCAGGCGGAAGATGCACCATAAAGAAATGACGAGGCTTTGGTAAGTTTTCAAGAGTAGTGTACTCGTTGCGGATGACGGCGGGTTGAGAGTCTTTGGTGTATCAATAATTTCAAGTATCCATTTCACTGGATTGGATTCACAATCGAACCCTCTCATTTCCCGACATCGAACTTTCGACGCGCTCAAACGTTGGATCTGACTGGTCTCAGATTCATAATGTGTCGAACAACCACAATCTCTCTCTTAACTAAGTCTTGATTCAATTACTTGTCTGTTGTCATTCTGTGATATCCAAATCATCTGATCCACTTAAACGTGTTTAGATCTCGAGTAAATTTGAATTTATATGCTTTTTCTATGGTAGTCGTGCCTTGGGAGATCAGGTATAATTTATGGAATGTTTGATTTTTCCTGTAAGACGATAGGAAATGATCAATCAAATTAAGCATTGATAGCAATAGGCGTTTAAAAAATCACACATGAAGTGCCAAGACAACTTGATTCGATTGATCTACATCATCTTGGATAAATGTCTAAATTTGAACCTAATATCTTTTACGCATATCCACTCTAATTACAATTAGAATCGAAGTAAATACAAAGGAGAGTAATAGGACCATCATCTTAAAAGAGGTATCATGTCTATCATATCTTTGGATTCTTTGAGTAAAATCATGTGAGATTTACCTAAAACGAATAATTGTTCACAACTCGCTATGAGAGACAATGATAAAATGACATTGTTTATTCTCATTGAGGAGTACGAGAATTAAGATTTTATAAGAATCAAAATAACCTCAATCTTTAAACTAATTTATTATTGATATTTATATCTATCTTGAAAATTATGTGACGAATGAAAGTATTAGCTACTCGAGTGGCATATTGGAGCTAAAAATTTAATCTTAATATATTGGAGAAACTCAGATAGCATATGTATAGATGAGTCTTTGAGGTAGTATCTTGGGTTGAATCATTGCTCAATTCTACATCAATGTCATATGAGCACTTATTGGTAAGATTTTTTTGGGTGCAACGGACTGTCTTCAACCCTTTGCAACCATTCATAATGTTTGCTTGGAGTTTAGTTTTCACGTTCTGTTAATTGGATTTTCTTTTACTAATTCTTAAGGGATGTAAAAAAAATTGACTCCTATACTAATTAGACAAAAGCTAAGTCGATGATAAATGAATTCTATTTTACCATTCTGTCAAGATATCATTAATAAATTAAAAGATTGTTGCTCAATTTACTTAAAAAAGAATATGTTGGAGCAACATCGCTTTATTATTATTATTATTATTATTACTATTATCGAGTTATGATAAGTAAATCGCAATGTTCAATCTCAGGAAACAACAAGAGTAATCAATCATAAAAATCTCCTTTAAGATCGAGAGAAGAGAATATTTCATAACGTACACGAGGATGATCAATTTAAGCTTCTCACGCTCTCACCACGCGATCAATCATAGGCACCAATCTATGGCGCTTCTTAAGTATACGGAGCGGGCTTGGGGAGCCCTTCGACCGCTCCGCAGAGCAAAGCCGTGTCGGGCAGGTTGTACTCATCCCTGAGTGACCGCGCCGGCGACTGGACGCTGATGTAGAGCTGCTGGCCCAGGTAGCGCCTCTCCCACAGCTCCGACCTGAGGTTCCACATCCCGGCGTTGTCGAACGTCAGCATGATGGCCGCCCACGACTTGGGGTAGACCTGCACCGCGTGCCTGCTCACCGCGTCGAGAAGGTTGTAGGTCTTCCTGCTCTCCGGCGTCCATTTGCCTGGCCCCATTCTGTTGTCCACCAGCAATGGTCGATCTTAGCGAGAAAGATTCGTATATCAGAGTAACGTCTGCGGGTATGAGAAAGATATGTACCCCACGAGGAAGAAGGAGTAGCCGTTCAAGTGGTAGGACTGCACATTCTTCTCAGGGTTCTCGAAGATGATCTCCACGAAGGTCCTGAACTCGATCGTGATGACGTTGGTGGCCAGGATGGCCGGAGCTCCGCCCGATGGGGGCTCGTCGCTGGTCAGGTTGTACTTGAAGGATTTGCCGCCGATGCCAAAGTACTCTGCGAGCTTCAGCGGGGTGTCGGCCTCCACGTGCGACACGCCGTTGAGCGTGTACCGGTTCTTGCCAGCGATGATGGCGCGCGAGCTGGCGAGCTTGATGGTGCGGGTGATGTCGATACTGCCGTAGTGGTAGGACCCCTGGGGGTTCGGCCGGGCGGCGCTGGCCGTGAGGTTCCACCGGAACGACCGCCACTGGTTAAGCGACCACGCCCAGCCGGAGGGGGCCTTGGGAAGGACGGGCGATGGCAGGGTGTGGGAGCCTGAGTAGCGGATCACGCCGGTGGCGGTGAGCTCCTTCCTCAAGAACCGAGTGGAGGCCACCATGTAGTAGTCCCCGGGGGCCTGGTTGGCGGTGACGAGGACGGAGAAGCACTGGCCGACGTGGATGTCGAGGGACTCGTACGTGTTCTGCATGGTGTGAGAGCCGTCCATCTCCACCAGCAACATGGAATGTCCCTGGATGCGGAAGTTGAGGGAGGTCTTGGTCCCAATGTTGCAGACGCGGTAGCGGTACACCTTTCCGGCCTCCATCACGAATAGCGGCTCGTCGTCCTTGCCGGCCTTGCCATTGATGAGGACGCCGGCGGGGAGGCCGATGCTGCGGCCCGTGTCGAGGATCCGAGCAAGTGTCTTGTGGTCCTTGGTGTACCAGTCACCGATCATGACGGTGTAGTCGTCGGCCGGGGGGTCGAACGGCACCGGGATGAGGAGACGGCTGTTGATCCGGAGGCCGCCAAAGCCGCCGGCCGCCTTGTGCATGGCCAAGGATGGGTAGTAGTAGAAGCTGCCGATCTGGTCCTTCACCTGGAAGTGGTAGGTGAAGTTTTGGCCGGGAGCGATGGGGCAACTGGTACCGGAGACTCCATCTTGCCACGAATTCTTCCTCTGTTGAATCCCATTCCTTCACACAGTAAATATATGCGCATTGTCATATTCATATGTGCCATAAAATGCACATAATTGAGTGTAGTAAATACCATGAGAAAAGAAACGGCTCATCGAGGTTGTTGAAGACGTTGATGACAAGATTGTTGTTGGAGGTGGAGTTGATATTAGGGCCGGGGAACTCGCCATTGATGAGGATGACCTGCTGAGGGACGCCCAAGGGAGACACGGTGCCGTAGGTGACGTTCCACGTGAAGAAGAGATAAGGGTCCTCGGCGAGGACGGCCGAGGTTCCCAGGAGCGATAAGACGGCGATGAACACGACGACGACGGCTCGCGACATCTTTCTTCCTCTGTTAACAAACTCTCTCTTTCTCTCTGCTTCTATTAGCTACAGACCTTGGAAGGATAGGATATAATTAGCGGGAGGCCATTGGAAGATCCCGGTCAGCGACTGGGGAAGATGAAGTGGTAGCGGTAGGAACTACCAGAAGGCCAACCGGGGAGAGCTTCGATCTTTGCGGGATGACCTCGAGCTGGTTATATAGAGGGGTGGAACGAGGAGGGGGATAGCAAGCTGAGATCGGCAACTTGGACCTCCAACCGCCCGTTCAAAGGCCACTCCCCCTTCCACTGGTTCTCCTCATTTCGCGGTCTTCCTCCACATAAAGCGTACGAGGCGAGACTGGAGGAGATTGAAGGTGAAGGGTGGCCGCAACGGTGGAAGAGCAACAACCTGTGTACTATATTAGGAAATTATCTGCAGAATATATATATATATATATATATATATATATATATATATATATATATATATATATATATATATATATATATATAATCTTTTTAAGAATGCTTTTGAAGTTTTAAAAGATGAGATTATTTCTAGTCTCCATTGGTCACTCATCTACAACCTCTATCATGAGTCCGGGCATCTAACACTTACTACTCTTAATCTAACATACTAATCAAGAGCGAGTTAGCGAATGAGAGTCACAATGTGAGCAAGGTCGATGCTAGAGAGGAAGATGAGGGAATCGACAAAAAAGACGAGATAGTAAACCTTCTTATACGATGATCACATAAGATAAAGGAGCCAACGAAGAAAAGCGAAAGGCGACGATGACCACAGGACTGAGGCGAAGTGGATGTCAATGCTAGAGAATAAGAAGCGTTGTACGAGAAAAATAAAATTTTAGAGATTTTTTATAAAAACACTAACTATAGATCAGCTTTGTGTGAAAATGAGAATGGATCAGAATCAGTATAATATCTTAAAACTAATATCTTAAAACTAGTAGGATCAAGAAGAGAATGATATCATTTATCTTTACTCATACTAATCCACATTTTTCATACAAATCCATCCTGATAATTTCATATGTACAAATCTTGAATATGTGCATGAAAATGAATAAGTTATTTCAAAATGTGTCCCCTAATCCCTATAAATAAATAGAAGAGTAGGAAAATACTCTTCCTCATTTATCACTATCTACATGAATTCAATTTCAAAAATATTATAATTGCTGACACCTCCATATTTAATGCATGATCGACATTGGATATTTGAAAATAAATTTGAAATTAAAAATAGATCTTTGAACATAATCCTCTTTGGACATGAACCATATACTATGCATAATGTTAACATGTAATTATTAGAGAAAGTACGGTCATTATTTATTATCATTAGAAGAATCATGCATTTAGGAGAATTTTATTTGGTTACGTAAGCAAACATGAATTCGATCGTAATGGATGCTCAAGACATATAATATAGTTTTATTCAAATTTATGACATGAAGGATACATATATATATATATTTTTTTTTGCAAATGATATCGATTGCGGTAAGAATTGGTCCTTCAAGAATTACATCTACTGAGACTAATTTTTATTTTGGTCTAATTTAATTTGTATATACATTTTTACATTAATTTTTGAACGTGGAATGTTGCTACAAAATCCTACTTTATAGGGTAAATGCTAACTTGCTAATTAGGTAATGTAATTTGGGCTTCCTTACATGACACTTTAGCAAAAACAAAAAATTCTCATTAAATTTTATAAATATATGTGACTCTTTTTCTAACAAATTGAGCTTTTGATATTTATGGTAGTAATTAATTAATATTTATTGCTTCTAATTATAATATATATATATATATATATATATATATTAAATTTATTTTTTTATAATCTAATACAATATACTTATTATTCTTAGAGAATAAATTAGATTATAGATTAGTTTATTCTTGACTACAAGAGAGAGTCTAGATAGGAAAATTGCTTTTTTTTCTCTTAATTTTTATTAGTCCATTCTAATATCTTGCACGAATTTTGTAGTCATTTTTATAAATAATATATATATTATTTTTTCTAAAGAAATTGAGAATGAGATGTTACCTCAACATTACGGCATCAATCTTAATGTCAAAACGAATTATAGGGGAATTATCAGCAATCCGTAATTCCCCGCTGTTTCCGCTACGTCTCAATCACCGCTCTCATGTCACTCCCCATCACCATCGTCGGTGATCAGAACACAACTTCTCTCTCTCTCTCTCTCTTAAGCTCCGTCATCCCTACTTATAGACTGCTGTGCTTCCAAAGCCTTAACTCGACCTCGCCATCGATGAGCAGCGAGAAAACACATGCATATACTATTCACCAACCATCAACATAATATCGATAATTTACGCCCTTTCTTTACCCGCACTCATTCACTGACAGATCATGACAAGGACCATACGTGGGCCCCAATGTGAGGTTGGCCTGTCAGCGATTTTGAAAAGTCAGCAACGTTGGCCCGTCACCGACTCCGGTTGGCTGACAGGGCATCGACCTGGGCTCCACATCAGCTCTCCTATTGGATTCGCCAAAGATAAGACAGCGAGAGTGTGAGAGAGAGACGATGTGGTCAGAGATCGTGACCGTACGTATGCCATGGCATGCAGAGTTGATGATACTGTTGACAGGGTTTCCTTTTATTTACCCTCTTCCGGACAAGGTTAGACTCTTTTGACGGGCAGTAAAACCTCAACAAAGCTTCCATGGCAAGACAAGAAGAAAAGAAGAGCAGCAACTTTTTGTCGGTTTCCTTTGCTTTTCTTTGTGACATTCTACAGTAACACTCGAAAGAAAGAAAGAAAGAGAGAAAGAAAAAGAATTAGACAAGGAAAAGCTTAGCGAGAAAGGAGACGGATACAGGAGAAAGGACAGTGGGTCATGGTGTGATGATGATGATTCCACTCTCTCTCTCTCTCTCTCACGTTCTCCTCTCTGATAGCTCGGTCCTTACCGCTGCTGTCCTTTCCTGATGTCAAGTGTGGCCTTTGTCTTCTTCTGTTTGGTGTCTGTACTCGCTGCTTGTGGGGAAGGTGAAGGGCAACTTCACAACCATAACTCGTAGTAGAAGTACGATGATACTACGGTAATACAACTTTGATGATATAGCTTATGGTCCTTTTTCTTGGGTGTGAAGGGAATGAAGGTACGTACTTCTCTCTCTCTCTATATGTAATCTATGGCTAAACCTAAAAAGGATAACAGTGATCTTTAACTCCATACTAAGGATTAGGGAAACAACCTATAACTCCGTTACCAAGTATACTTTACCTTCTCTTTCCAAAAGTTCATGGTCTTCCTGCACACAGCATGATGACAAAAGAGCGATCAGAGGTTACGGAGTTACGATGATTGAAGAATTAATGGTGGAAAAAGATTGTTACTCACTCCATTATTCACATTCCTACAGCTCCTTGGTCAGATGAAAGCCTGATGACATGGTGACAATGCAATGGATTCAACTTACTGAAACTTGGATGTGATGGCGTGGTAAGACGCAGGAGTTGGACGAAGTACGTACCTGGGCAAATGGAAGAAGCAGGCGTTGAGGGATGGCATGTCAAGCGTGGTGGTGGTGGACGGGAAGAGGGTGGAGGAGATGAGTCGGTTGTTGCCAGTACCGAAGAGCGAAGCAGCTTCGACTAGGTTTTCTTCGGCAGGCAGTGCAGCTGAGAAAGCGGGTCCCATGAAGGTAGAAGAAGAAGAAGAAGAAGAAGAAGCTCTCGTGGGTGATGCAAAGGGACTATCCGGCAGGTTATGCTCCACGCTGCTGCAGCTATTATTTAAATGAAACAGCCAATCGATTACGGAACTTTGTTTCTTCCAACCTCTTCTTTTCTAACACCTTTCTAGGAGTATTTAATGCATTTGCAGGTGCGCAGCAAATGCACCAGAGAGCAATGGGGGAAAGACAAATCAAATCACAGAAAGAAGTGCGAGGAATTAGCTCAATTACCTTTGTTGGAAGCCAATATCTGCAACTTTGCAGGTTGGCTCACCGTCACAAGATTCTCCTTTATCAACAGAATCAGGCTTCTGTGATTTGACTGCCGACTGCTGAGCAGCCTTCTGCAGTGGCTCTGCTGCCACTGAAACAGCAGCTGCTGCTGCAACAGGATTCGAGTTCTTATCTACAAACAGAAAAGTTGTCGAAGTCAATTGTTGGAGCATGAAAGAAGAATTAACCTAATGCAAGATCATCGTTTCTTTTTGGGACAAGTCCTCACTTTGGCATGTTGGTTCTTCCTGGGAAGTGCTACTTCCACCATTAGATTGAGTCGTGGCAATGATAGGACTGGTAATATTGTTGGTGGTCGTGGTAGCGATGGAATTGAAGTGGTTTCGGTTCTTGAGGTCGAGGACCTGCAGGCCCATGAATCGCCGGTTTTGTAGCTCGATCGCTTGTTGGAGTTCTGCTACTTGCTTCTGCTCCTCTAGTTTCCTCTTCAGCAGTGCCTCCTGGTTGATACTGTTGTTGAACATCATCCTAGATCCTAAGATGAACCAAAAGATCAATGAGTAAAGAACAAATGCATGCGTCGGGTGGGAAGTTAAGAATTCAATGCGAGTGAGACTGAAGCGATGGACATGGCGGCGCCAGAGATGTTCTTCTTACCAAGTTGCGGGAAGTCAAAGGGATCTCGGGTGTCCAAGCCAGTAGGAGTTGTACACCCAGGGAAGTCACCTCTCTCAGCTTGCGGTTGCTGCTGCTTTCTGGACAAATGTGGAGGAACAAGTCTACACATAATTAAATCCCTGCATCTACAAAGAAGTGGTAAGGGGTGGTGAGAAAGATGGGAAGAAAGAGTGCCTGTACTTGTCGGGGACTTTGCCCTTCTCCTTGTAAGGCTTGACGAGAACTCGAGCATTACAGACAAAATGGGGGTTGCCTTTGGCCAAGATTAGCTTTACTGTCTCTGGGTAGACGAAGGTCACGAATCCAAACATTCTCTTCTGCTGGTAAGGGATCCTTACGTCTTGCACCGGACCGTAGATGCTGCAATTTGGTTGACAAGCCAAAACATTTCCACCATTAGAAGCGAAAAAGAATGAGAGCAGCTAAAAATGGTTTCTCATGGACACTTCATCGAACAATGACCTGAAGTAATTGGAGACGTCTTCTTCCCTGAAGGTGCTGTCGGCTGGGAATGTGAGGTAGATCTGCCTCGAGCCGGGATTTGCCATGCCGGTAGCAAAATCGCTCTTTTCCATCATCCAAGGTCGCCCCATGAACTTGTGGCTCCCATTGCCTCCCAGCATAAGAGCTGCAGCCGTCGCGGCTGCCATCGCCCTGTTCATATTCGATTTACCTAAACTTAATCCATTCCATACACCGGCAATGGCTGCAACGGTTTGGTGTTAAAAATGCTACCTTTGACTCTCACTCTGCTG